GGAACAATGTGTAATGTGTAATTTTTTGCATTTTGCTACGGACTGTATCAGTAGAAGTCTACAGTTAGAAGTTTACAGTTAGATTACGACCCTATTCTCTTTTGCACTCTTTTACTCTCACACCCATCAATTTCTTCATATGACACTTTATACTCATGTACTATTTTACTAGCTTTCTTCTAGTAAATTTTCTAAAAAAGGAAAGTTCTGATTTAAATTAATCCCGTATCATCTCTTTGTACATGTTAAGAGCCATTACTGAAACTAAACCAAAAGTCAAATAATTGCCTGCAAAAAACCCGAGACTCTGTAACAAATAACATCTAAGAATAAGCGTATAAAAATTTGCCGCCAACTGAAAATGATTCTCAATAATTCCAAACATGTGAGAATAAGCGTCCAATTCGTTTACAATTTTTAATAACACTTTAAATGATTTTATAAATTTATGAAAGCAACAAATATTCTGTTGTCGCCGCTATTTTTTGCTAAAGTCGTGTACATTACTCAATGGCGTGTCTTGTCCTCTACTTCTAGGTTTGCCTCGTTTACATGTAAAAGAGCATAGAAGAGCATCTAAAAAAGCTTTTCAAAAACAAAATAAGAACGTAATAGCTCTCTTCGTTTCTTTTTTTTTCTTCTCTTTGGTGTTGGTTCTAATTTTTGGATCCAGGGCAACAGAGTAAGCATTTTCCGAAAATTTATTCCAAACTCTAGTGACTATAGTGCGAAAAGCCTGTGCGATTGGATTAGTCAAATTGCTTATGAGTTAATAATTAAGAAAACTGAATTTGTTTAAAGCGAATGTTGGATATGCCCACCACAATCACCTTAAGTCATGATTTGTAAGCCGCGGCTTGTTTAACTGTCCTTTAGAAATCGTAAGTTATTAATGAAGATGTACTGGTCACTTTTTTCCCGTATGTTGCTTTCATTTTCTTTGTTTTTGACTATTGTGGACGTGTTTGTCTCTGTGGTATTCAAGTGGTATTTATAGCTCTCTACTTTATTTTGAATTGTTAGTTTATCGTTGGACCAATAATAAAAAGACAGATGGATGACAGTCGTCACAAACGCAGATGGATAAATTAAATAAAACGAATGGATGAATGAACAGATGAACATCTAAATGGTTGCGTGGAAACGTAAACGCATAGACAAGCAAATAGGTGAATAGACAAACAGAAGAATAGACAGAAATGATAAAATGACCTTGCAATCATAATTGTAATAGACTGTCCATATGTTATGAGGCGCTCCGCTAGTACCGATAAGACCACTACATCACCTAAAGTGGTGGCTGTAATAACATACTTTAGTTTATTAAATTTATTTTAACGTTTTTATAAGAGTATTAAGAAAAAATAAATAAAAATAAAAACAAATTCATAAATAAACAATCTTGAGTCGTCTTTCTATTTTCTATTTTACTGTATGACCTTGCAAGGCAAATTGTTCATTGGACGAATTTATGTGCGCGTAAATAGAAATTTTCACTTCTTAACAATGTATAAAAACGGACGGACTCTAAATAAGTCAAACGATTGGACCGATTTGCATTCGTTAAATGCACTCGTATACACACATATACACATATATATCTCGTTAGCCTAAATAGACAAAATATGTGTATACTTTGGTTGGCCGTGCGAGTTGAAAGCATATTTTTCACTGTAAAGATTTTACACATAAATGATTAAAAAAGCCAATTCCCTCTGCATGGAGAGAGCATCATTTATCCAGCAAATTTCATTGCACATATAAATAATTTTATTTGTGCACAAGCACATGTATAACAATTAACATACATATAGCTCGTAATGTTGACGTAAAAAATTAAACAAAAAATGAAATTAAAGTGTGTCAGACAAGTTTTTCCTCTTTTACTACGCATCCCCTTCTGGTCGTACAATATACTTTTCTGGTCGTACAATAAGAATATCTCTGCGCTCGCTAGCGGTGTTTTATTTCATTTTCGACATTTTAAGCCAAAAAAATTAGTTATATGGCTCAACTAATGTACAAAAATCTACTAAAAACTAGTTTCACTACTCTTTGTTAAATAAATTTTCAATTTCATAACGGACAAACATTTGAAAGTGCGAAGAAATTAAATTTCCTGATTTCTTTCTCAACTGGGTTTACTTCGGTGCATGTCGTTCCAAAGAAAAAATATAGGTTTTTTCTGGGTTTAGGCGTTCACATTTTTTTACATAATATTATTGCCTAAATTATGGTACTAACTAAAGCCAAAAGTTGTTGTGTGTATAATTTCACCGAAGGTTCTCAGCCCTGTTCAATTTCGAACATTACGCAGCCACGACATTTATTTTCCGCCCAAGTCTCTAAGCCGTTCCACTGTTAACGGTAGGGGTTCATATTTTTTTCCACGCACCATATGTCCAAAATACGCAGTTTTGCTTTTTTAACGTACGTTAATAGTTCACACCTAGAGCTTATTCTTCTCAGACCTTCAACGTTGGATATGCAATCTTTTAGAATTTTACGGTAGCACCACATTTCAAAGACTTCCAGTCTGTACTGATTTTTCATGTCCATGATTCTAGGCCACACAAGAGCATACGGGCAAGAGCAAACATACGAGGAATTTCATGAAATGAATACAAAGAAATAAGCTCATTTTCCGACTTGCTAGAATTTTCTGATATTTCGTGTAACCTGACTGACCCATTTCTATTCTTCCTTTTATTTCCACGTGCCTCTCCCTGTTTTTGTGCAACAAAGGTCCAAGGTATATAGACTTGGATATCCATCGTCTGTTGATCCTTCGTATTATCTGCCAGGACGGTTGCGTCGTCCGCATTTCGCTCTTGATGTGTCCGTTAATAATGAATTGCCCATTGACTTTAATGCCTGCTTCGATAGTTTAAATAGCTTCTTGAAAGATTACCTCAGAGCAGACGTTAAAAAGTCGAGAAGGCAATATGCATTCTTGGCGCACCTCTCTGCATATAGGAATATAATTTCATCAAAATCATATCTGCTAAATGAGAAGGAGTAACAGAAAAGAAATCGTCATTTCTGTTAACTGCCTCAGGATTAATTACGTTTCATACAATGCATATTTTTAGGCTTATGAGTTAACTGCTCGAACTTGCTATGTATAATTTGTATATACGCGATAGACGTTCAGTTAAAATTCAGGTTACACCTCGTAACTATTATATTTTTATACCCATCACCAAAGGATGGGATGTATACTAAGTTTGCCAAAACGTTTGCAACACCAAGAAGGAAGCTCCAGACACCGTAGATTAACTACATTATTTAATTATAAATTATGAAAAAAAAAAATTACGATTCTCGCTTGTGTATATAAGATTTTGTAGGGAATACAGTATGAATAATTTAATTTGAAATGAAAGTGAAGCGGTAAATTATATCAATATAGTTCTTATGATAGCAATCACCGAAGGATGACGGGTGTACCTATTTTTCTCACAACGTTTGTAACCAAAAGAAAACTTCACCAAGTATATACATTTTTGATCAGCATCAAATTCTGAATTGATTTAAGCATAGCCGTGTGTCCATCTGTCCGCTCATCCGTCTGTGTAATGTGTTTGTGACCCTGTCCTAGCCGCAAAAATGCAGCTATCGATTTCAAATATGACAGAAATGTTAGAAGTTCGTGCGCGCAGGTTGATATTGAAAATGGGCCAAATCGATTGAAGGACATTGTCTGCAGTACTACGTAAACTGAGAACATCTCTATTTTTTAAAGGTAATAAAAGATCGGTTTTTTGCTCATTAATCGTAAACCACAGTAGAAAAATCTGCAAAAAGTTGAACGTATTTTCTGCTTGTGGGTTACGCTGCAGTACATCATCAACCGCACAAATATACAAAATCGTGGGCAATTTAAAATTCGGAATGCATCTAAGCGTGTCCATCTATTCGTCTGTCCACCTGTCCTTCTGCTTCACTATGTCGTATTTGCGGTTAACGTTCTCCCGTTCGCAAAAATGAAGATAACGTCTATAAATTTACAAAAGAAAGTGAAAATGAAAATCTGTCAAAGGACGCGGCTACAGCGCCCACAAGCCCACGCAACGAAAACTGTGAACATCTTTGCCTGCCTTGTTTTTTGATTGTTACGCAGAAAGTGCAACGCATTCACTATATAAATCCGCTTTTACTCTGAAAGCAGAAAAAAATCGATCGCACCCATCCAATATTATAGACAATGAAAATGTAATTCCTCTTATTTTTGTAATCCTTTTTAAGATGACAATGATGGATATAAAAGATTCGGTCACGATCGAATATAATTTTCCTATTTGTTCTACTTTAGATGTTGATTCCATTGTTATTATATCCTGCATCAGTCGTAGCACAAGTATATATGAGAGATACGTAAATGTACGTCGGCAACATCCCGAATGATTTGAGAAAGACTCATCTTTTATTACGTCTTTTATTGCAGCGAAAAACGTTTGGACAGTGATTTTGAATCTGTTTAAGCTTGTCTGTGCGTGTGTTCGTCTTGTTTTATTCTTTGTTTTTGTTCAATCTGCAGAGAGAGACTACGCCATCATTGAACTTTTTTTTCCAGTAAATTGATTTTGTCACGCAATGTGCGGCATCTTATATTATTTTGTTGAAGCAACATGTCGTCCAAGACGAAATCATCTAATATTTGCCTTTAAAAATTCGGTAATCACGTTTCTGTAGCTTTATCCACTGATGGTAATCGTGTGGTTAATTTGCACTTTGGTTGAACATTTAGTTCGTGTTATTTTATCGACCACTTATGTATATATATACAAATATATATATTTTTTTATTTTGGCCATTTTCTTAGAGTAGAGCAGACACCCTTGCAAAGAGAAGAACAACTCATTTGAGATCTGTTCTTAACATAATTTGTAAAAATGTATAAAATGCTTTTTATTATAAGAGAGAACTTTATCGACGAACGCTAGCAATTTCGTTAAAAAAATGTTTAAAGGAATAACAATTTTAATGATTTTAGTTTCATGAGATCCTCTTTAAAAAGGTGTTCAAATACTTGTTTGGGCGCTCGCATTTTGCGAATCTAAATAACGTAATACTGACTGACAATATGGCTGATGTTAATGCAATTCCATTGCGTACATCGTCCGGTAGTGCTCCAGCTTCATTAAAAAGATTATCGTCGATACGTCAAAATACTATTGATTTCTTGATTGAAGATGAAACGGATTTCGTGATGCCTACGGAAAGGCCAAGATTGTGGTCTACGAAATGTCAAGACGATGGCCAAGCTTATATACGTTATTTCTCAGTAGGACCCAGTACGTATCATATTCGTTGTCCGTTGTGTAAGCAGAGATCAGATGCTGAAATTGTTCAAATGACTGGTGCTTTGGGACAACTGAGTTGTTTATTATCAACCTTATCATGGTAAGCAAAATATGTGAAAAAGTATTGTCTGGCAAACCCATTAACACTGTGAATCATTTCTAAACGAATTTAAATAATGTTTATATGCAAAGGCATTAGTGAGTTATGCGTTATTTTTTTTATTTTCAAATATTTTCAGTTGTTTTCCGATATTCTCACTCTCCTTTGTTTACTTGTGTCTGCAGAGTCGATTGAAGAGTAAACGTGTCTTTTGCAATAAGTGCGGTGGGCATTTAGGATTTTATTATAGGCCCACATGAGTTTAGTAAAAGTTTATTTAAATTATTTCTAAGCAAAATTATTTCTGCGCTTATATAAAATGCTCCTTTTTTTAAATTTTTTATTTGTTACTCATTCATTAGAAATACATTTCATTGTATGTCTCGTATCTATCGCTTATTATTAAATGAGATACAATTTACTGGTAATCATGAAACTTTTGAATCTGTGTGTGATCATTTAATTTGTTATTGTTGAGTGTGCGTACGACTATATATATATATATATATATATATATATATGTATATATATGTGGCGTGGTGGAAAGAAAGAAAGCAAGAAAAGCTGCTAACGGGAAAATATATTTTTTAGTTCTCTGTTAAAGAAACTAATTTTTTTTTTGCCTTGTATTGAAATTCATCGTTTGATTGATCGTTTGCATGGAACATCTAAGATCCTTGGAAGACATTGTGCCAGTATTGCCTAAGAATGTGGGTCATTTACAAAAGACATCCGTCGTTATTGAGTGCCCTTCCTGTAAACTGCGTAATCAAACGAGAGTGGACAGGCAACCTGTGACTGTTGTACAGAAAATTGTGGCCCTTATTAACCGATGTTTGTTCTGGTAAGTTTAGTTTAGACTAAAGCAAATGAATTATTTGATTAGTATTATTATTATTATTATTACTTTTTGGATGCAGCGATCCTATAAAATGGGGCGGACGTCACGATATCAACCATTATTGCAATATATGTGGCTGTTTCATTGGACGCCATATAACGTTGAGCTGGTATAAGCGTCAATTATTCCGCATGCAACGTTCGGATGTCGAGAATGAGAACAGGTGGCAACGTTTTAGGAAAATTGAAAAAGAGCAATTAGATAAAGCTAAACAAAAACATGTAAATTTACCAAAGAACACAAACAAGCAGACGGTGTCAAGTACCCAACTATAACTACGCATTCGATCAACAGATGATCAGTTTTAGTGTCATTGAAAGTTTGCTGACATTCTTTTCTTTTTTTTTTTTGCCCCTCCTTTTATACACGCATGCACACATTCGCCTCCTAATGAACTTGAATAAAAATGTGAAAGTGAATAGATATAAAAAAGCTTCGAATTAAAAAAGAAATTGTCGTGACATCATAATGAGAATTTTCATTTCATTTTAAAATTAGATTAGTGATGAGTGAAGAAAATCAAAGAACAAGAAAAAAATAAGAATTGGCTGCCGAAGTTGCCAAAGCGAAAATAAAAGAAATGATTTTAAATCTGCATGAGAGAGAAGACTATCTACTCATAAAAAGGCATATATTCAAAGTAGACGTTTAAAGTATCGTCCACGCACAAGAGCTAGCTCGGTGCAAACTTTGGATATGCACTGCCATACTTTCGGCATACAAATCCACTTGAAGTATGTTGTGCTTAGCTGGATCTCAATACAGTTCGTTTCATACCGCTATCTTATTGATCGTGAACAATTTGAACAGCCATAACTTTGCCTAGGCCTCTTTTACGTTTATATATTCAAAAGTTGATTCCAGTAATACTTCTGTCTATCCAAATCATCTAGTACGTTATGATAATAGAAAGTTCAGCGGGGCTAGTTCATTGAATTTGTATACACACCTATAGAGGTAAAGAAACGACCATTAAAAGTACATGCATTCAATAATCGGTATGCCTGATACGAAAATTTTTTCCAGTCCTACAGCATTGTAAATTAAATGCAAAGTAGAGTTCATTTCTAGGTTGAGAATCAATAAATTCAAAAGCTACGTCAAATAATTAGGCAAAATACCAGAATAATAGGCTTCTCTATCACTTACAAAAGATCTATCTTCCATGGTTATAATGAATATTAATTAGGTAAAGGAAAAACTTTATGACGTTTTTGTATTAAATATACGTCATTTGCGATGATAATCCGTAAGCTTACTTCTGGCAGAACCTTGAAGCCATCGCTGTTGGTTTTCTGCGAACTTTTTTGCGAACCAAATCAAAGTGGTTTTGTACCGAATGAAATAAATGGTGAATGGATTAGGCAAGCGCTAATCAAGACGGAGGAGGATAGGTCCAGTGAAACTCCACAGTTAAGCTCTCTCAACTTTCAAAACATCTTTACCGATATTTGTGGCTTTTACCGTTGTGTGAACATTGTCATTATGAAAAACGATGACTTCGCTAATTATTAAGACTTTACTTTATTTAAGCGTTTCAACCGCATTACCTGCTGGGGGTAGAATATGGAATCAATCGTCCGGCTGCGTTGGTGCTATTCCCGATGTATCATTCTATTTCAATGCTGGTAAACACATAAAATTACTCTATATGGATTATACAATGTTTTGCTTGTGCAACTTCAACCATCTCATATTGTTATTATTCCCAGGCAGATGATGAATGTTAAGGTAATATAATCGCTAATGTTGTAATTGTTGAAGGCAGCAATGATGGTCGCGTTGATCAGGCGTCTGCTATCGATGAAACTTTAAAGGATTTAACAGCGAGTCCCTTCCATAAGCAATACGGTAGAGAAGAGAAACAATTACGCCATTATCCTGTAGGTCCATCAACCTGTCGCATCAAACGCCCTTTGTGCCGCCAAAGTGCTAATGCTGCTATAATGTGGGCAGCTGGTGTCAAGCATGCAGCTCGTTGCCTATCGCTGTTATCATGGTTTGTTTTGCTTTTGATCTTATAACTTCAAAAAATAAAGAGACTTTTGATAACTTTACAGTTTATTTCCAATATTTGGGATTTTCTGTGCATGTACTTCGTGAGTGGACTGTTTGAATTGCAATCTATGCGTTAGCTAATTAGGAAAACAAGGAAAAACAAAATAAATTAAACTTTCTCGAAAAATTTTCCTTTTGTTTTATTTATTTTTGGTTAGGTTCACACCTTATAAGTATATTATTAATATTTTTAAAAAATTAAAACATGTTTTGTTTGTTTCTTTTATATCTTTTGTTTTCTATATAGTATATTAATTGTCTTGATACGAAAATATTAAACACAAATATTTTTGGTCGACGCACGCATGGCCTATTGGCTCTTATGTCGGGCGACAGAGCGAAGAGGACGTGCGACTATGTTCACTGTATATTGCATGTCGGGCGCTAAAGTTGTGGGCGTCTATAAGTGCCTAAATATTCGCCACAATGCATACAATAGTGACGTCGTATACAAAAGCGAAAGAAGAAATTTTTCATTACAGTTTTGCCATATTGTTTACAGTAGGGGCAAGAGACTTCATGCGGTTCGGGGCCAACGGCAAAATAAACGGGAGGCAATCGTTGCTTTATAATCATAGCGTTGCCTTGAAATCAATTAAAATTTTGTTTATGTGTTTATTATTTTTTCCTTTGTTGCTTAAAATGCACGATGTGGTGAAAAAGTCACGATTTTGTAGAGCACGTACAATAAAACGTTTTCTTCAACTAAATGAAAATATGTTTTAGGAAAATGCTATAGGCATAGGGATAATAATATAGGCAACCTAATCAGAATACAAGAGAGAAGAGATAATTTTCTTTTAAGAGATTATTTAAGAGCAGAAAGCTTAAGAATTTTTTTTATTTATTTTTTAAAATGAAAAATGATATCTAATGTACGAAAATTGCATCGTGACAGGAATTCATTTATAAATGAATTTTCTCATCATTGCTCTGTCAGTTTTTTCGTCTTTCTATAGGGCTCTATTCTCATTGTTCGTCCAAAATAACAGCCGCAATTTCTACAATAATGATTTCGATCGCTCTGTTTACAAGGTATTTTATAATCCATGCAACAACAACAGCAAAATGCTCTGCAATAGACAAAGAAAAGAAAAAAATTAATATATTCTATGCGAGAAATTATCAATTATTTAATTGTTTTATATTCATTCATACACAAATAGACAGGCGAGAGAGCGATTAATTTCAGTTGCCCACCATTTAATTTCATCAACTACTTGACTCATTCCTTCTACGCTGCAACTGGGACATTTGATTAACGCTGGCTCGTTTGTTAAATTCAAAAATGTACCAATCAAAGGCGTGGCAAAGTTATTATAGATTTCTTGTTTTTTTTGGGCTCGCAACATTTTTTCACTTGCTCTTCTTGCCTTCTCATCGATGACCACTTCAACGTTTGGCGGTGATGCGTTCTGCTTCGTCTCTGTGCTGAGTTTGATGGTTGCACTCATTTCGGTCATATTTTAAATTCTGAAACTTCCTTTTCTTTTATATTTTTGTTAGATTGATTGTTTTATTAAATGTCTTCAAAGATTCTGTTTTTATAATTTTTCACCAAACATCAAACAAGTACTAAAGCAAATAAACACATATTAAAGCTTTTAGGCTATGCTGAGATGTATGAAAAAGAAAGGAAAGAGAATGCGTTTGTCTTGATGCTAATGCCTTGATGAAAATGTCGAGAGACAAGAGAAAAAATGTAAGAGGTTTTACTTACTTAACGAGATATTTGGCTAAGTTTTTGCTTTGCATTCTTACCCAAGTATGACAAGACTGCGTGAAATATCTTTACAACCTTTGAGCTTCAGCGTAACATGGGCTCTGTTGTACTTGGTGCCTGGAGGCGCATGCAGTGAAAGTTTACTAAGGTGGTTAAAGAGATTCGCCCATCGATCAATACTCTTTACGAGACGACTTAGAGGGCTTATCCACACGTTTTGAAGTTGCATGCAAAACGCACAACAAATTGCCGCGACTCGCCGCTCTTCCATCGTACTTCCGAATGTTTCCACTGAAGTCGAGTCGAATGTACATAATTACTACTTCCCCTACTCTCCTCCCTCTACGTACAAGCCTTCATGTGTGGGGGGAGATGCGCCCTGAGCAATTACTCTAATATAAAAATAAAAAACTCTTCTATTTGCTTATCCCTTAATACTAAGAACTGAATGTCTTTTGAAAAAGTTTGGACCAAGTAGCGCTTTTTACAACGTTCACAGGCTTATAACATATGAAAGTATGTTAGGGCTTTATGTGAAAAATGGTTTGAATTTATTGATTGCTTTGAGGCTCGGGAACTAGACATTTCTGGTGCAGTGGTTTCATTAATTAAGCAGAGATTTGAACATGTGTACCTATTATTATAGATAGCTTGCAAAACCAGTAACTAAAATGCTCTTGCTTGAAAGTTGAACGCAGGTGGAGAGAGCCAATTGTAAAAGAAAACAATGATCAGCAGCGATGATCTGTAACGTCCAGCGGATTTGATTGTTTACTACCAAAAAGCCGCAATTTATCAAATTAACATTAAAGGCAGTTAGGGGTTTTATGCACATTTCATGCCACTGCCCTCTGCGCTAAGCCGCAACTAACTGCGATAGCAAACAGTCCGTTGTATGCGAGACGTCCTGCGTTGCGAAAAGATTTTGCTTTGAATTGCCGGAGTTAAGCATCATTTCTAATTGTTTTCAAATTCCATAAAAGCGCTAATCTGCTCTGAAAACAATCTGACAGAATTTTTGATTAGAAGACGAAAAATATATTAAGGAGTGATCTGGCGGTTACATTTTTGTTAAATCCCAATAAGGACAAGTACTTCTATACTATGGTAAAGTTATTGTTCTTGTGATCGCCATGTCTGTAAAAGAATTCTTTGAAGGTAATAATGGAAGTAAGCTGGCAACGGGTACCACATATCGCTCTGTAAATTTTTTTTATTTTCTTTGTGCTTTCTAAGCCAAAGTTCTTTTCGGGCTACCAAGTTACCAAAATGTGCAGAAATAGTGAATAAAATATTTGGATTTGCATTGGCGCCGCGATATCGTCTATTCTCCTTGTTGTTTGATGTTTACAGGGGAGATGCTTTTCTTTTTTGAATTTCATTTTTGAAATTAAAAGCAGATCGTGTCAAAACCAAATTTTAGAATAAAAGAAAGAAAATAAAAAAAGTAAGGACGACGCAAAACCGGAAGAATTTAGGAAACGATCCATCTTTGCTAGACCTCCTAAATTATTGGCAACTATATTTTGACAATTTATTTTCTCTTCAGCCATAACAGACAGTGGGCGAAATGAAACGAAAGAAGAAAAGGATCGATTCGTATTTGTTAGAGCCTCATAGTTATGATCAACCATATTTTAAACTTTTTTTTCTCTTAAAGTAAATTAAAAAAAGAAAAAAAGCTTTTAAGAAAAAGCTTCCATATCAATAAACAAAAAGGTGAAAAACTTATTCGCTATTGCGAATACACATAAAAGCTTGCAAAATTTCAGCGTGATCAGGTGTGCAGATGTGTATGTTCAACGGAAGCAAGTTAAATAGAAACTAATAAGCTCACAATTTTTAGATATTATTTTTAATAATATCCAAGCATTGATATAAAATTTACTCTGAAAGTTTATTAAAACCGTAGAGAAATTGCACGGAAACCTGATTCAATTTCGCCTTGCAATACAATTAACATGCGGCATTTCTTTAGAAGAAAGACGGCAATCGACGATTCGGATTAAAGTTATACATTGCCTTCTTACCAATTGCCATTGAAAATAAATTTTTGTTCGCAACAAGTGCTCGAATAGTGTATGTTTCGTGTTAAACGATCAAAGATCTGAATAGAGGAAGACGTTTTTAATGAATCGGAGCAAATCAGATTTCCTCAAACTATTGAATTGAAAAACATTGGCTTTCTGTAAAAGAGATCAACGTGTGTCAATCGTCCAGCTTGTGAAGCCGTTACGCTGCGTGTGATTCGCCTACAAATGGTAACGTGCTGGCAGAAATTTTTGACGGCTTGTAAATTACAGTAAGTTCATGAAATATTTTCACGTTAATACACATCGTTGCTTCTATTACTTCAGCAAAATCCCAAATTTCTGTCATTACGATACCAATCATAGCATATGTAGCATACGTGGTTGTCATATTGACCGTTTTATTAGCATCAATTGTAAAGAGCATTGTGTTTCTGATCTCGCCCGTCGTAATGTGGAAGCCAACTTCTTATTTAAAATGGGAGGTTTTGGGAAGAGTCCGAAAATAGACCTTTGTACCCCAAACGTACCGTAGTATATTTATACGTTCACTTGCTGTTTGGTTCCATTTTTGACGGGAAAATACCACAATTTTGGCCTTGTGCCGTTGATGAAGACATATATGAAAGGAGTCCAAAATGAGGTGTTATTTGCTTCTAATTTCCTACATTCACTCAATAGGACAAAGTACTGTTTTTTACCGTTTTTTGTAGAAAATATTAAAAAGTTCAAAAGAGGAGTAGTCGAGAAAACAGTCTGATTTTATTTATTTTTAATACGAATAGTTTGAAAACAGATATGCACATGCAGTTACTAGACTAAAAACGTGGGTAAATGGACTTAAAAATCTTCCTAAAAGAATTTGTAAGGATTAAGTTATTTCTGCTTCAGCCTAGCTCAACTGACTTTATAAACAGAAAGAAACCCGAAAAAAATTTGATAAAATACAAGAGATGGAAATATGTGTCCATCCGTTTAATTGTCACATATCTACATGTTTCTAAGCGTCATCCATATTGCGGTTATGTTCCACCATGCATGTGTTAGTCTCTTTCACTCTAGTCCATCCGTTATGTCTTAATCCAATCTCTTATTAGGCACGTATTACTAGCAGCAGATACGTGATCCATAAAAAAAAAAAGATTCCCTTATGTTAAATGCTTAAAAACCTACAACTTCATTGAATCTTTTAGGTGTTAAGTACCCAAACATTGAAATAACACAAAAAAATGTGTGCATACCTATTTACCATATTATCTTTATTTTATAAATGCAATAAAAAAAAAAAATTTATTAATTTGAATTATGTCTGAAATTTCACAAATTTAATTTTGCTGCAAGCACTTATTCAGCCACTAATGTTAAGTAATAAGTAGGAAGTAAGAAAAATAAGAATTTAAAATTGAACATCAAAAATAATATTTGGAATTTGTATACTTGTATAACAATACTTGCTCAGATGTATAAGAAGTTTGAGTTCGATATTGTTAAAATGAAATCTGAGTTCGGTTTTTTAAAGTCAGAAAGGAGGAGAAATCGAATTAAGTGCAGTTCAAGCATGAGCAGCTAGTCTTCATAGTCCACACTTCACTTGCTTTCTCTTTCGCAATGACATATATCTAACTTAATATTTGTTACTGATTATAAAACGGGCACAAAGGGCTCTAAATATCCTTTTGTCTCAACAACTCTTCCAAAAAACAAAAGCTGATCAACCTACTTGCTTCAATATATTGCATGATTTTTCTCGACCACAGCTAATTTCGAAATTAACTAAACAAAATAATTTTTGGAAGAAAAGAAATTTCTCATTCTAATTTAAAAAAAAAAAAAAAAAAAAAAAAAAAAAAAAAAAAAAAAAAAAAAAACATTTGAAGCGTATGAGTTATATCGCTTAGCCTTTTATATCGAACCGTCTTCTTTAACTGCCCCTGATGTTGTTTCCTTCTTGCTATTTGTAATTTGATTTTTGTTTTAGTTTTTACCTATGTTTATATATGTGAATTAGTACTGATCAATACAAACATATAAATCTGAACTGAAACTATTTTTCATTTCTTTCGCCTATTTTACCTTCCAACCACTTGGAACTTGAAGGGAAGGCACAGCATGACTGATTGTCATGCCAAAATTTTATTGCTTACTTATAGAACAATTGAAACTAATAACAAATATATTTTCTCGTGAGAAATAATAAGTTTACGCTTAAACTAACAAACTGCAAGCAGTCGTTCGCACAAACGTATGCAATGTTAAGAACGTTTGACATGTTGACAAAATTAATTAAGTTACAATTGCAATGCAATGTGGTCGCTTCTTTATTTGTGCATTTACTCTTTTCGTTTTTCTTTTTTTCTTTGAATGAAATTAAAAATTAGATGTAGCAGCATATTACTCATATATAATTAATGTTCTTAATATTACATACAGTTTTGTATGCATATGTTGTTCACATTTTTGTATATACAACTGATGTTCTTCGTAATACATACACATACACGTACTTATATAAACATATACATATTTTTGCATAATAGTTAGATTGAAGAATTCAGGATTGGCATTACTGTATAATGCATAATTATATTTTGGCCCAAATGGTTTTGTATTACTACGTCGAATAAACAAATAAATACATAATAACAGGTAGGTCTGTCTATAATCCTTCTAGTTATTGAATACGTCGAGTGTAACCAGCAAGCTTTGAGATACATCTTCGATCGACAATCGCTGATTTACACACACATTTTTATATTAATGCGATCGTTAAAAAAATGCTTATCGCAGTTTAAAAATGTTCATATAGAAAATTCCGAAATGCGTAGCGTATGAGTAATCTGAGATTTTGTTGCCTTGTTGCAAAGCAACGAGATACATGTCACGAAATACAATGGTATTGAGCAATTAACAGCGTAAGCATCATTTCTAGCTATCCTAAGGCGTCTAAGGCTCTAAGACGGAGCCAATATGTGCTTTTTTTCGCGGTCGTTTTCATGTAAGTAGAGCAGTGATACGGATAGTTTTAGAAATCATTGGACTTAGAATTCAACGCAAAATTTTACGATGCGCGAATCTTTTTCCCAGAATATTTGATTTATTTTGAGAGACTTTTGAAGACTCTTCATTTTTTAAAGCATTGTCATACATGAACTCGTCAACCACGGTACCATATTCTGCAATGTTGAAGTTGTGATCGTTAATAATAATCAGCAGAAATTTAGTCGCAGACTGTGTCAAACTCGCTACAAACAACAAACATGTACATATGTTCTCATTAAATATAACCCAACGAATCAGAAAGTATTTATTTACTCGCAACAATTCAATTAATATGACTCAGGCTGTGCATGCAGATCAAAATTTTCAATTTCTCCTTTACATGTCAGTAACCCTAAGGTAATCTTAGTATTTCTGGAATAAACATGATTGTTGTAAACATTCGTTTCGTGAAATACCTACTCATCCCGTCACTGAACGAAAGAGTATAATTGGTTTGCGCTTGCAAGTAGCCACTAAAACGTCGCCAAAGTAATACGGGTGACGGAGTACCCATAAGTAATCTATTATTTGCAAAGAATATGTTTACACTTTAGTGCAGCAATGCACCGACCTGCGCTGAGAAGTAAACACGTATTCCTTATGCTATCGAATTTGTTGCCGAGTATTATTAGGTTATTGGCGCTTCGGTCGCAGACGACAGCCTTCACATGCAATCTCATATTTTCAGCGGCTTGA